GGTAGCAACTCAGACTTTCTATTCTGAGGCCCCAGTGTTTCCTAGCATTTGATTAGCCTCATTGGGTTACATGCCTGTACTGAACTAGCCATTGTACAGAAAATCTAAGTTTTACCATTCCCTCCCTGTCTGTATGACATGAAATAAGGACGATATTTTCTTTAGACAGTGACCGTAACATGGTAAACTTTCAGTAAGTGAGATTGTTTTACCTTAAAAATGACCATAGTGTTAAAAAGAGCAGCCTTCTAAGTTTCCTTCTTTTTTTCTTGTTCATGTATTTTTATTGTTTTAAATATTTTTATTGAGTTTTGTGCATTTCATATAATAGATATTAATCAAATTTAGACCTCCCCATTTCCCACTGGATTTCATGCACCTTCTGTGTGAAATGCCTTCCTTCTTCCCATGACTGTACTGCAAGCTAATTCAGATCATAACAGTTTTCCACAGTGCCCCATGCTTCCACTGCCTGAATAGGGCAGGGGTGCAGAGGGTACTTGCCCAGGAGTGTGAAGCTGGGTAGCTCCTTCACCCATGTTGTGTGATATAGTGGCCCCCTCCCTCTTCTGTTACATGAGATACTTATCCTAGGTAGTCCATAGGCCTCTTTTAAAACTGACAATCCCACTGACAGTCTTAATTTGTCAGGTTATCATCCTGTCCTGACTTTTTGCCTCTGTTCAGCCCTCCATTTAGGGTTATCAGAAACACAAAGCAGAACCATCTAGGGAGGTCTTTGGGATTTCTTTATATGTGGTCTTAATCAAAAGATTAAGAAGTGACTCTGGTTTGCTTTTGAACATCATCAAACAATACTGATGTGGGAGATTGGAGCTTAACCAGGAAGTTATTTTACTTAATGTGCCACTGACAATTCAACAAAGTGGCTACAAAAATGAAATATGAATTTTGGTAGGATTGAGAGTATTCTAATTTTATTCTTCCATCTTCTTTGCCTCTCTCTCTCTCTCTCTCTCTCTCCAATTTGCCTGATTGAGAAAGCTAACACTCTCTAGGGTTTGAAGTAGCTTTCATCATTGAGGGCAGTGTTTAACTGAGTATGCTAGTGGCTTCCCCTGAGACAGTCTACATTTCTCTCAGTCAAATATCTCTTCCTTCAAATTTATACTTCCCTGACAGAAAAAGAAAGTCAGGAGGCTCTGAGAAGTAATTCTTGGTACTGAACAAAGAGTGAACAAGTCTGTGCAGTGATGAAGATGGGACTGAAGTTTTTCTGGATAGGAATTGCCTTAGAGCGACCAGTTCCACAGAGGCAGTGAGCACATTCCCAGAACCAGTGTCATCATGATGATGTAACATGGAATCCTCACATTTTTCAGAAAGGAAAGCACAATTTTCTTCAACTTATTTATCATTCCCAAGAAATATATTTTCCTTTCCACACCCCCTGCCCCCAGAGTCATTGGCCCTAAATGCTCTACTGGGTATTGATGAAAGAATCTCTGAAACACTGACTTGATCATCCATCACCTTGACCTTACTAACTGAATAGAACTTCCTAACTATATAGTTTCATAAGTTTGTAAAGATGCACCTCTGTTCCTGGCTTATAATAGATGACAGATGATAAATAGAGATAGATAGATAGATAGATAGATAGATGATAGATAGATGATAGATAGATAGATAGATAGATATAGATATAGGTCTACACAAGCTGTGCATACACACTTCCTTACTTGAATGTGTGAGCTGCTGATCCCCCTTAGTCATTATCATCACTGGCATAGCTGTTATTATTTTGTAGTCTTTTTATCGGTACCCAGGCCTTAGGTACTAGGGTATTAGTATAAGCCTTATACATCTCACTAGATGCATTTAAGATGAAATAAATTAGACAGTAAATACTCCCACTTCCCACCCCTATTACTCCTCTCCATGTCTTTTACTTAGAGAGCTAATCATGGCCCCAAGCTGCCTCTGTGTGCCCCAGCATCCCCGTTGAACATCACTCCACCAGTGCCTTTAGCTGTGTACTTCTCATGATGGGACATGAGGCATCCTCCAGATTCCTACAGCAGACTTTCCTTTCGGAAATCTACCCCCTTGCTGTGACTTCGTGCATGGCACAAATGCTAAACATCGTGGCAGAGTGACTGGCTTTGTGAGCAGAGGTAGTAGTGGCAGCCTGGCACCATGTCCAGCAGCCTTGTGAGTTCATTATTGGCCCTCACATAACACATTGCAACTGAGGTGACACTTCATAAATGTCATCTCATTTACCTTCCTGATGCCCTTAAAGACAGAGAATCCTGAAAAATCCACCCAGGATTGGTTCTAAAGCAGTCCTGCCTTCAGGCGGTTCCAGGGCAGTGAGGATGGAGTCTGGAGTCTCTTATTACGTAACTTCAGCTGTTAAGGACTATGTTCCTGTGCTTACCACCATCATGATTCATTCTGCAAGCACTGAGCATTTGCTGGGTGTGGGGCATCTGACCTCAAAGCCAATGTCTTTGTCGTTAAAGAGCCCCAAGGGAGCCAGGAGATAAGGAAAAAAGGACACCTGCCTAGAGCAGGGAGAGGCTCCCTAGAAGAAGAGGTAGCTGGTACTGCCTCAGAGAGGGTGAGGAAGAGCAAGCCAGAACAGGAAGATGAGGGTGGCAGAAGAAGGCAGTTTGAGAGAGGCAGGAGCTGAAGAGAAGGGAAGCAGGGCTATGCTACTAGATGCCGAGCATATCACAAAGGCTGCATTTATTTATTAATTAGTTGATAGGTTAGCACACAAAATAATGGGTTTCCTCATGGCATCGGCATACCTATGTTTTGTTATACTTTGTTCTTCAGAGGCCTCTTTAGGTTCCTGCTGAGGAGCTGGCACTTGGTCCTCAAGCTGACAGAGATCCAGTTTCAAAATTCAGGCTGCAGGGCTTTCATCTGCTCCTCAGTTGATCCCTTTCTCCTTCTCCCCTGTAAAAATATCTCCCAGCACATAAATTTTTCTCTAGTACAGTGACTTAAATGGCCACATAGCATATAACTGGGTAAACAATTCTACTCCCCTTCAGAAATGGGGCAGAACAGGAGGAAAATTCTCCACTCTTCCAGAAAGACTTAGGCTTCTTTTCTATGGCAATCAGTTTTCAGAAAAGGGCGGACTCTAACGCTGGGCTTCCTTGCCTTCCTTTGGAGCACTTCAGGAATGAGGGACAGTTTTCCTCCATAGAGCAGAATCGTTTTAACCGAACCAAGTATGAAACTAAAGAAAGAGGACTGCTGGAAGATAGAGGAAGTCCCCAGGGGGCTGGAACGGCCTGTTGCACGTGCTGTTTCATGGCTTCCATGCTGGGCTTTGGGGCTGTCACGAAATTCAGAGCAAAGATGAGAGTAAATAGTCACAGTGTGCAGGACATGAAGGGACAAAAAGGGCCCGTTGCTTCGACAGTCATTTTCCTTGCCTCCGTATGACGAGGCAATGGCTTTCTGCATGAGCAGACTTCCCCAGTCCTTCCTAGCAGCAGCCCCAGCGCCCCGCCCCACCGTGGGCACAGCTAGGTGACCTGAAGCTACAGTAGGCCAGGGTGCTCTCTACTTTCCAGTGCATTTCTGTTTTGTATATCATATGCTTACTGAAGTTAACTACTGATACCTCACAGGACTTCCTGGATAGTTCAGAAATAATTCAAATTATTTGGATCTACCTAGTGTATACTCTAAGGTTTTTGTCTTTTCTTATGGATTTTCAGTGGGCACTGAACCAGAATCAACCAGATGTTCTAAGGAGTTGGGGGCAGGGGAGGATAGAGGACAATCACTTTTTAATGTTAGGAAAATTGGAAATAAATGAGTATGCAGATGATTTCTAAGATTCCAACCAGCCCTGCCCCCCAAAGCTGATTCCTACAAATTACTCAGCGTTCACTTCTAGATTCGTAAGTTTACCTGACCCAAAGTAAGTTGAAGCTTTGCTTGCCCTGTCCCATATTTCAAGCATGAATTTGGTTCACCAAATGTGTTTGTATCCAAATTGCCATAAAAAAGAAGCCTAAGTCTTTCTATTTACAAAGTTTCAGAGAGTCTTAAGATCACTGTAACTTATGACAGAAGAGAAATTATCCTGGCAAACCAAACCTTTTTATATGTTAAAAAAAAATCCAGGCTTCTTATTGATTGATTAGAGCGTTTCCTACTTTTTTCATTCCTGGCAGGCAGCACTGTCATCTTTGGATTGGGGCCACCCTCACAGCTAGACAGGTGACACTGATCTGTGGGGATTTCAGGCAGACTGAGAATAGCCCCAGAACTTCTCTCTTCATTTAAAAATCCCACCTTTACAGTTTCAACCAAGAGTTCAGGCTTTCATGACAGAGTTGTAAGATACAGCTATCCAACAGGAGAATGAGCAGTGATGAAAGAAATGGAAGTGTCAGACAGAGGCTTTGCCAACACCATCATTTCTTAGGTTCAAGCCCAGGTAGGTTCATAGAATAAAAAATCCTATTCTAAAGGCGCTTAGGGACCAGCTAGTCAGCGCCACATTTTATATAATGGGAAACTGAGGCCCAAGTACAAGAACACTTTGCTGGTCAGGTTGCAGTGGGTCTGAAACCTGGGTTCCCTGACACCCAGAGAGAACGGTCCCTTTTGGAAACAACAGACACAGTTAACATCAGTTGCGGGGGGGGGGGGGGCAAA